CTCTCTCTCGAACCCTTGATAATTCATAAACCATTATTCTTTCATGTCTTACACTGTTGGATGTCTCCTTTTCCCCACTTTTCTGTTGTCCATCCCCCAGGGAGGGGGTTATATACAGATCATTGCGATCAGTTTCCCTTCTATCCCCCACCTTCCCCTTCCCCTCCCGGTATCACTACTTCAATTATTGGTCCTGAGAGCTTTATCTGTCCTGGATTCCCTGTGTTTCCAGCTCTTACCTGTACCCATGTACATCCTCTGGTCTAGAAGGATTTTTAAGGTAGAATTGGGATCATGATAGTGGGAGGGAGGTAAGACATGAAAAAATAATAATTTATAAATTATCAAGGGTTCGTGACGGAGGGAGGGTGAGAGAGGGAGGGGGAAAATGAGCTGATACCAAGGGCTCAAGTAGAGAGGAAATGTTTTGAGAATGATGATGGCAACAAATGTACAAATGTACTTGACACAACGGATGGATGGATGGATTGTGATAAGAGTTGTACGAGCCCCCAATAAAATGATTTAAAAAATAGAACTGGAGGAAAGTTGTATTTTCATTGGTGCTATACTGCACCCTGACTGGCTAACTGTTTTCATGTCTGCACAGGAGTGACCCTCGGGGTATGTACTGCTGGGTCTGATGAACCTGGCCCAGAGGGCCTCACGTCCACCTCACTGCTGGACCTTCTGCTCCCCACTGGTCTGGAGCCACTGGACTCAGAGGAACCCAGTGAGGCCATGGGACTAGGAGCTGGCCTGGGAGCTCCGGGCTCTGGCTTCCCTAGTGAAGAGAGTGAGGAGTCCCGGATTCTGCAGCCGCCACAGTACTTCTGGGAAGAGGAAGAGGAATTGAATGACTCCAGCCTGGACCTGGGACCCACTGCAGGTAGTTCTTCTCACCTCAAGAGAGTGTGCTGATTGTCAGCCGAGTGTGAGACGGTCTAGGCTAAATGCCAGGTGACCATTTTCAGGACTCTCTACCAGCTGGTACCGTGCTCAACTGCACATCAAATTCAAGTCTTTGGGGCTTATTGGCCCAGAAGGTCCTTTTTGCTTTAGTATTAACACCTCTAGTGAGCACTTACTCTGCTTACATATCACAATATAATACTTATAACTGGTGAGATAAGGAATATCTGCTCAATTTTAGACATGAGAAAACCAAGGCTTAGAGGTTAAAAAAGCCTGAGGTCATGAAACTTAAGATGTTCAGTTATGGTGTCTCCAAGGCTTAGGGTTTATTTGTTTTTCTTTTATCTTATGTTGTACTGTCTGTGTTTAAGATTCCCAAGAAAGTGGCAGACTCTAGTTCCTCCCTTGGGTCAGTATGATCCCCAGTCAAGGCATTCTAATTCCCATTTCCATCATGACATACCTGAGCTAGTTTCTGGGTTTACAGAGCATTTCTCCCCCAATGGGTGCTGTTGGACCACTGTGTCCTGAAGGAAGTTGGATGAGGCTTAGAACTTTGAACTGGAGTATCTGCCATCATGGGGCTGCTGGTCTCTTCACCAGCACCAGGCACTTTCTTCTTCTTATTTTTGATCATTTTATTAGGGGCTCACACAACTCTTATCACCAT